AGGCTCCCCCTGGGTCCTACTGCCCCTGTCTCTTGTCATCTTTGACAGGCAGCCAGGAGCAGATAAATATTTTCTAAATTTTAATGGGCCCCACAGGCCAGATAGAATGGCTTGGCAGGCCAGATGTGGTCCACGGGTCATATTTTGCCTACCCCTGCTTTAGGGGATACTGACTTGACCTGACAGAATGCTTCCAGGTGGTGTGGAGATTGAGACAAGAAGATGTGTGCAGGTAAGTTTATTTTGTCTGGATCTGTATATTTCTTGTGGTAGCTAATGCAAAGAACTTTCAATTATGACATATCTTTGAACAGTGAACAGAACCCAATGGCTCTACAGAAGGGTTTATGGGACAACCAGCAAGGGCCTGCAGTACTAGGGCAACTGGACCAGGTTGTTCCATTTCTGTGAACAGAGAACATATGCCCTAGAAACACGCTAGAGTCCATGGAACTGATAGTTTTACAACTAGCCTGGAGGTTTACAATGAGCCTAGCATGTTAGGACCCTAAAACTTCAGCCTAATGAGGGGTTTGTGAGGGGTTTGCATGTAGGGCTGTGATGGATGGTGACAGCATTTGGGATCAGCATGATAGGCATTTCAGAAAGGCTTTTGTGGTGATCTAAAGCTTTCTACTTTTAAAATGAAAACAAAGAATGGATTTATTTAAGTGAAAGCCCGATAGCAAGCATGAATTATGAACAGCTCAAGATCAGCTGCTAAACATGTGTGCATGATGTGCTGTGCCTGCCATTCATCAGAAAAAAAAATGGACCTGGTGGCCATCTTGCACTTTTGTGATTTGAGGCAGGATGGGGCACCTACTCCAAATGGAGCAATCAGAAGAATCCCTTTCTCTTCCTGGAGGTGACCAAGGAGACGGTGCTACAGCAGTTGCTACAAGTTTGGGTATGAAAGTTAAAATTCCAGAAAAGCAGAACTTTGTATGTTGTATGTGTGGCTTTTTGCTATAAATCAGAATTTCTGAACAGCTCCTTCCTCTGGTAATTAACTAGTCAGCCTCTGTGCTGCCAGACATAATGGTGACAGATCAAGATGCAGGCTCTAACCACAATTCTGAGATTGTCAGATGGAGCAGGCAATAGAGCTTCCTTGATAGGTTTATTAGATCCAGATACCAGAGTTGTCTAGCCTGTTCTGTGACTAGACCAGACAACTTCCTTGCAGGCTACTTTGGTTGCCCTAAGTCTTTGGAGGAGGAGTGCAAGATCATGGCACAGGAATTAATTCTGGGATGTCCTGTGTGCCTATATTATAGAGCCAGTTAGAATAAATGACAATAACCATCCCTTCTGGCTTTATAATATACTTACTCTTCTTTTCCCACTTCTACAATTGCCTGTTGGTCTGAGACTGCAGAAACAGCTCAGGGATGATTGGGTCCACTCTGCCCTGAGATGGAAAAGAGATG